GTGGCGATCCGGATTGGGTACGATTTCACTGTTGGTGTGTGTTCATGCATTTCCGTGTTTGTGTGTGTGCGTGTGTATTGTGTATGTGTCGGTGTCGTTGTGTATATATATATATATATATACGTGTATATATATATATATATGTGTGTGTGTGTCGGTGTGTGTGTGCGCGTGTGTGTGTGCGTATGTGTGTGCGCGTGTGTGCTTTAGTGGTTGTGTATGTGTGAGTATTGTAGATGTGCGCCTTATATGTTTGCGTAATGTAAGCAGGTATGTGGTATGCGCGTGTATCTATGTATATGCGCGTGTAAGCGTGGGGTGCCCGCACAACGTTTTCGTCCAATCTCCCTTCCTTCGTGCTCCTCTATCCTCCCCTCCCCCCCCAGAGAGGTTCCGTGACAATGTCGTGCCCTTTGAGCCGGGCTCGGGGGGGGCAATTTCGTTAACAGAGCCCTCTTTGATAGTTAGTTGCCACTCCGTCGGTCTCTTTGCCTGGTCCGGGCTGCGACCGCCGAGTGCCTTGGTGCCAGCACTATTGCGGTACGATTTAACATCTCCGCCACGCAGTGCACGAAGCTAGATGATACGAATTGGGCATGTTTCGTATCAGCACTCCCCTCCTCCCTCTCGTCTTCCTCCTCTTCCTCCTCCCCCTGCTCCCGCATTTGCGGCCCGTAATTCGTGACATTTTCGTTGCGTGTTACCGCCTGTGCGGGCCGCAGTCTCAATTTTGGGCGTACCGGCTTGTCCTCGATTTTAGGCCCGTTCCGTCGAAGTTTGCTGTTGCTTGTGCGCTTGGTTCTCAGTGTAACTGTTCGCCCCGGGCGCGGCCTGTCCAGCATATTCGGCAGGACCTCGGGGCCCACCTCACGGGCACGGTGAGGAAGCCGTAGGATCGGTATGAGTGTGAGCTCAGCATCGGCCGCCTTGGTGTGGTACGCTAAAAAAAACTCGCCCCCCTCCTCCTCCTCGCTCTATTCATCCTCGTATTCGTCTTCATCCTCATCTTCCTCGTTTGCTTCATTCTCTTTCGTATATTCCTCATCTTCCTCATCTTCCCCATATGCCTCATCGTCCTCATAGTCCTCATCGCCCTCATGTTCTTATCTTCCTCATATTCCTCATCTTCCTCATCCTCATCTTTCTAAACTGTTTCACATTCCTCATCGGCGCAGTATCTTTTCGAGCGAGCGGGGATGCAAGTTGGTTGATTTGCGCAATGGTAAACCCGCCAGCCCCACAGCCGACAATCGTCGCTCGCTCCTGCGCCGAAGCAGACACCCTTATAACCTGAATCTCTTGAGGCGCGCCGCTCAATTTTACAGGGTGAGCGAGACGCCGTCTGGAAGAGCGCGCTGGACTGTAAAGTGCATCGGGCGTGTTGGGCACCTCCTCAGTGCACACGGGACTGTGGTGCCTCACGCAGATCTTCGAGTACCTTTGACCATATATTGAGAAAAATATCGTTCCCAGTTGGCCCCGCGCAAGTCCAGGGAGGCACGCGTGGATCGTCAGCGGGTCGGTCCGAGAGCGGCTCCGCCGGCGGAAGGCGGCGGAAGTAAAAATGAGACATCAACATGTTTGGGTCCAGGGTTTTTGGGATCGCCCAATTATGTTCCGGCATGAAGTGCAAATCCCTCTCCCTCTTCCCCCTCCTCCGATTGGGGATCGGGCAAAGGTCGTCGTCCCCCTCCTCCCCTTCCTCTTCCTCCTCCTTTTATTGCCTCGGAGGCCGGAGCGCGGCCCCTAGCCGTCCGGTGCCGGCGAACTCAGAACGAGTTCAGCAGCAGCAGCAGCGCCATCGCCGGGCCAGCAGCGGGGCTGTCCCGGGGAGCGCCGGGCTGGCGCGGCGGGGGGTCGATCGTACCGCCCAGTGCGGTAGCCGTGGCGGCGCCTGCAACCGCAAAGGCAGGTGACAGGGCCGCAGGGGGGTACGAGGGGACCCTCCTCCTCCTCCTCCTCCTCCTCCTCCTCCTCCTCTTCCTCCTCCCACCTCTTCCGTTCCAGGACAGCCATTTTGGCTCAAATGTCGACCAACTCGCCTTGCGGCGTGTGCCGCGACCAGGGCGTAGCGGCGCGCAACTGCCGCACGCGCTGCCGCGACGACACCGGCAGTAGAGAACCAAATGACGACATTAATGTCACTACTCGGAGGTCCGCGCGGATTTCCCGAATCGGTGCCGGGGTACCCTGGCGGCGCCTCCGGCGGCACCTCCCTGGCGTGCTTTGCGCGCCAGGCGACGGGCCCAGCGCCAATCCCAACATTCCGCGCGGGCCTCCGAGTTCTTTTTGTTTATGTTGTCGTTTAGTTCTCCAGGCAGCCCGTGCTGCAAGGGGCACGGGGGCGCCGAGACGGGCGACCGCCTGAGGGGGCTCAGGATTGCGGATCGCTCAATGAATGGTCTCAGGGCGCGCATTTTTCTCCGAACCGCTCCGAAGCATTGGCCGCGCATGCTTCGGAGCGGTTAGAGGAATTCTGCGCGTTCCCATTGGCATCCATTCGACGATGTCCGCCCGCAAGGCGGGGCAACAGGACTCCCTGGGAGCGCGTGCTCCAGCTGGCGGCGTTCGTGAACGCCTCCAGCCTGAGCACAGTGGAGAAGCTCCACGGACCTGCGGTTTTAAAGCGGCTCTTCGGCGGGCATGCCCCGAAGAACCAATAACATCACTGAGTGATGTTTGTGGGCTTCGGGGCAATGCCTTTCAGCCCGGCCACCGTGTCATCTGGAATCGCAACAGACAGGCGCTTGCCTGTCCTGTTGCGATCTCAGACGTCAGGGTGTCGCGCGGCATTCGAGGCAGCAGCGCTGTCGAAGCCCTGTGGGTCCGCGCGAAGGAGGACGAGGAGGTCCTGGACCTGCTCTCGCACCCGGACTGGACGGAGCACCGCAGGGGCGAGGCCCCGGGGAGGGCGGCCTGAAAGCATCGCCCCGGTTTCGGTTCTCTGGCCAGGGCTTTGGTCGACGCGCCAGTTCCGTCCGGCTTCAGGCTGGAGAGAGAGCTGGTTCGCCGGCCACCCGAGCGCTTGCCCGAGAGACCGATGCAGGGCGGATCTTCCAGGCCACTTCGCCCAGGCGAACTTCCAGCTCAACACCACGGACCTCGCCCTTTTGGACGAGTGGCAGGGCGCGGACTTGGCCGCGCAGCTCCTGGCGAGCTGGATCCCTTGGGGGAACGAGAACGCGCGCTGCCTTCGTGCTTCGCTGGCTTGTTGCGGGGAGCCAGCATTGACGCGCGTCGGCCCCGGGCTACGGCCGGAGGCCGCGCGCGCTGATGCCTGTCCCTGCGGGAGCCCGCGGAGGCGCGATAGCGGCGCTCGCTCGTTGTTCACCCACAGGCTCACCCGGGTGTGGGCCAATGCGGACAGCGGCGCCCACCGGCTCCTGCAGGAGTACAAGAGGCGCACGGGGCGGGAGCTGGCGGAGGGCAAGGCGCTCGACGCCAGCGGCTTTGAGGGGGCCGCGGCCGCCCTCAAGGTGAGGCAGGCCTACCCGAGGTGATCGGGGGGCGGGCGAGCGACGCCGCCGGCGTCGAGGGTCGATTTCCATGGTGGAGAGACGGCAGGTGATTGCAGCTCCTGCGCAGTCGTGTCCGCGCCGTTCAAGGCGGCGCGAGCGCGACCGCGCGCGCGCGCGCCGAAATCAGCGGTCGTGTCCCTCCGCGGAAGCGGCCGCCGGCGCGCGCGCGGCGCGCGTCGACCCGCGTTCCCCCCAAGGTACCAGCTGCACTTCTACCAGGGGGCGCGGAAGGTCCTGAAGCTGCCGGGACAGAAGTTCAAGCAGCTGCCGGCGCCTCCGCGGCGCGCCCAAGGGGGGCGAGGCGACGACGGGCCGCCCTTTCTTTTTTTTTTTGTTTATTTTTTTTTTTTTGTTGTTTTTTTTTTTTTTTTTTTTTTTTGTTTTTTTTTTTTTTTTTTTTTTTTTTTTTTTTTTTTTTTTCTTTTTTTTTTTTTTTTTTGTTTTTTTTTTTTTTTTTTTTTTTTTTTTTTTTTTTTTTTTTTTTTTTTTTTTTTTTTTTTTTTTTTTTATTTTTTTTTTTTTTTTTGTTTCTTTTTTTTTTTTTGTTTTTTTTTTTTCTTTGTTTTTTTTTTTTTTTTTTTTTGGTTTTTTTTTTTTTGTTTTTTTATCCGGTGACGACG